CTTGTTCAATACTCTTGCAAATTTCTTGAAATATTTTTTTCCAAGATAGAGTGTAAAAATAATAATGAAGAGTTGAAGTTGAAAATAATTGTCCAACCATCAATATATAAGGACAAGACCACAAGCTCTTTTTTATTTTTGGGAAAATCGCAAGCCCCCACACATAAATAGGAGCAAATGTGATTTACCTAGCAATTGAGTTCTACAATATACACGGAGCACATTCACATCAAACAAATACATCAATTGATAATATTTTTATAGTAATCCTTGAAACTTAGTAAAAAAGAGAGAAAAAATTTTAAAAGTTTTTCGTACTTGCCATAAACTTTTTTTTTCTATGTCCATAAAATCCAGACATCAACTTAAGAGAAAATTTTCAAGTTTTCTTGTAGTCACAAAAAAATTTTGGCCTATAAACATTAAACCTCAAATAAATTCATGTGGTTAGAATTAGAAGACTAGAAGTTTGCCAAACCCATTATATGGAGAAACAAAAAGGTGATAATGTACTGTTTTGCCATTACTCATAATGATATGAACATCATTAGAGTTAAAATCAATAATTAAAGTTGAAATGAATAAATGAAATATTAAGAATATATATACATAACTAATTTAAGGAGATGAAATAATAGTAGAGGAGTATGTAATTAATTGGAGAAGATGAAAGAAAATTGTTCAAGGGAATTATATGTTTTATAAAGGATATTATAGTCAATCAAAAGTTTTTCACTTAACTTCCTTTTATTAGTAGTGTAGATATATAGATGGTTACATTTTATCTTGAGCACTTGTTTTATTTTATGTGATCATCATTGAATGTCTTAATAATAATCTTAAATGGAAATGACAATCATAATTAGAGGATGATGAGTTGAGCTTGAGATTTGCAAATGTTTAAGCACTACATGGAATTCATTTCTATATATTTGTATCTCATGATTGGTTGCTTTGAAAACTCAACCTTTGTGTAGATTTCTAGTGTACTAGATTGATAGTTTATTAGGTGTTTTGCTCTGCAANCCCTGCAGACTAGAGACAAATAGTGGAGATGCAAAAGCCTTAGAGAGTTTTGAGCCTATCATTTTTCAAGTGTTTATGAAATTTACTCATTGATTAATTATTCTGTTTTGCTATTTTCTTGAATGGTCTCTTTATTTTTGAATTGATCAAACATTAATATGTTAAATGGCTTCTTAATCTTCAATTACATGCATGGGAAAAGTGTGTTGCTAAGAAACTCTTGGGAAATGATCTTGGACTATTTTTGTTATGATTTGAGCTTCAGCCCTATTCTTTGCATATCATTATCTATTGAAGTCGTGATTGAGCCAAATAATATATTCATTTCTTAAGCCACATCACGTAACCAAGCTTAGCATAGGGTGAATATCACTTACCCTTGGTTATCCCAAGTTGAAGCATCTATTGTTTATGTATTATGAGGAAAATGTTGGATAAGAAAGTTTGTAAAAAAAATTAACAAAAAAGATGAAATTGTGCATCTTGGGGATATTTGCATGATAAAATTTCTATTAAAAAAAAGAGAAAAAAATGTCTATCTTTGAAGATAAAAAAATGTGTTGAAAATAAAAGAGGAGATTTGATCAAATATATGCATTGTGTTTCTAGGAGTGAAGGGGTGAATGGTTATGAGTTACATGAAAATGGTTGTGTAATGTAATGCTTTATCTTGGGATAACTCTTTGAATCTTTGTATATCCTTCATTTCATTAAATCAAATCTCAAGACCTCTTAGTAAAGTCCTATTTGATCCCAAGAGTATATTAGTGATGCATGACTTTTGTAAGGATAGAGATAAGTGTTAGTGGGTGTAGTGGTGTGTGAATGCAATACTAGGAGTTATATGTATGACCTATATAAATAGGACATATAGTCTAATGTTAGAAGTAAATAGAGTTGAGTAGGAATTGAAAAGTCCAAGTTGAGTGTGTACTTTGTAATTAACTTGTATGAAAATCATTTTTTCATTGAGTTTTTATATCCTTCTCTACTTCTCCATTTCATTTCTAGTCCTCTGGACTTTAATAAAGTGATATCAGAGCGATTTTCTTATCGTAGTAACATTGGAGTAATTTCAACAGTATCTTGCATAAACTTGATCAGCCCTAAATTTTTCATATTTATCCTATTATTTCTGGGCTAATTGTAACGGATTTGAACTTAATTATATAAGATTAATGATATATTTGACTTTATCATGATCTAATTGGTTTTTGTCTCTTTTGCAGGTGAAATAGCAAGATATGAGGCAAATAGGCAAACATGTGAGTGGATTGCAAAAAAGAAAAGGAAAAATTTAAGATTGAAGTTCAAAAGACCATGTCCGGCCATGAGGTGCTGCATTAGAGGCAGAAACAGGTTATAGCTCCCAAAAAGCCACATTTGAACGTCATTAATTTACGTCCGAACACGTGTTTAATCGCTTGTCAGGTCCAGACATCACTTATTCCATGTTCGGGTGCATGTCTTTGCTCCCAATCAATCAGATAGCCCGATGACGTGAGAAGAGATCATCTTTCTCTTTTTGGCAAAAGTACTCTGTACTTTTTGGGCGAGTTTAGAGAGTTTTACTTGATCTAGAAATTTTCTATTAGCACTTCATTTATGGCTAACTAAGTATTATACCAAGGCTGGGGAAGATTTCTTTTCAATTGGGTATGTAAGTTAATTCTATATTCTTCAATTAATGATTTCTTTATTAATTCAATTCATCATATTTTAGCACAGCTTTCTTTCTATATAATCTCTGAATTATTATGTTAATTTTGATGAATATTTGAGATTTCCTGTGAGTTGAATAGCTAGATGTACAAAGTTGGATTGAATTGTTAGAGTTTTTATCTAATTAATTGATTTGTTGGTCTTTATAAATTTGGATGTTTGATCGGTTAATTGTTTAATTTATCATTGACTCCGAGCATTTTAAATAATTGTAATTAACAATTAAATATTTGAATTCATTAGATTAGCTCATTGATTATACTCTAAGCGAATTTCCTAAGTAAATATTTTTAAATCCTCCAATTGGGTTCACTCCCTAGTTGATTCTCAATTGAAACTGAAAATTATGATTAATTTTCTACCCAAGTATTATTGAAATAGTACCCAATGCCTTGGTATTTCTCTACATTACTTTTCTTAAGCATGTTTTGTTTATTTGTATAAAATTCCAATTACCAAATCATTCTCTCAAACACACAATATATTTTTTTTTATTAATTCTTTTTCATTCCAAAATCTCCATCACTCTGTGGATCGACCTTAGACTCTACCAAAAAATTACTACTTGTCTGACACCTATACTTGGATTTACAACTTCCGATGTGAAGCAATATCTGTCTGAGATTAACTTACAAACTAATTTCCCATAAACCTAAGAGTTTACGAGCATTAATTTAGAGGCTAACAAGTATAACTTTTTGAATTTATGTATCTTTTAATACACTTCTTCTCAATTCCCTTGATTATTAGATCACATACCAAAATTTGAAGTGGACTTGTAGTCTTCAAGTGGGGGTCTATCAATAATACACAATTGACAATATAACATTTAGTGAAGTTGAAAAAAAATATATATTAGAGAAGATTCGAATTCTAACTTCCCATAAAAATTCAGTTTTGTACATATCTATCAGCATTTTCTTGATTGAAAACTGAACCCCAGAACATTGAATTAGATCCCCTTACTTTTGTGGTTGTATGTGTCCTCTTCTCTTGCCTGCCCATTGTTTTACTCCAATATATTCACTTCTGGGGTTTAGATAATTCATTAATCTCTTATCTCTCCAACCTTTAGACAATAAATTATTAGAATATTTTTCTCGTAGATAACCTTCTCAAGTATCCTCATCAACAAAAAAAACAAAAGACTACGCCCAAAGTGGATGCAGGTGTTTTTGTGGGACTAATGAATCTGAGTCATTCATTATTTATTTTTTTTAACTATAAATTTCTTAAATGTTCACCTTAATTCTCCACCCCCTCCCAATTTTTTTTTATTTTTTATAATACATATTGTGAATGTCAGATGGACAGAGCCATTTCTTTTCAGCTAATACTGCATTTGAGGGTTTTTCCAGTATGTCTAGTCTAGTCTGGTCTAGTGTAACTATCGAGCACGTAGATCAGCTGTTGAGGGGCTGTTCTAACTTAACCAAGGTCCTTGGTTTGAGACTTGGGAATGCAACTGCTTTCGGTAAGGAGAAGTTTGCCGCCCTTGTAGTCCTAACCGGATTGAATCTGGATTAGTCGGAAACCAAAAAAAAAAGTCTAGTGTGAAAGGGACATTCATCATTAAGTAAATATATGATTGAAGGAAGTTAAAGATTAACTCATATGCAATAACTTCTAATTCATTTCGTGTGGGATCAGTGGTTGTATTACGAATCAACAATCCTATTTCCAAAATGGGCATCAGTTCTTCCATAGAGCGTTCATGTGATGCAAATTCTCAGCCACTACTAGAGATGTGCAGAGGATCCTTATAAGGCTCGAAAATGAATTCTCAGTCATAATAAGATTTCCTCTAGATAGATATATCTCCAATGAGACTTTCTCTATTTTATGAAGTTTTTTACGTATTAAAATTTAATTCGATCTAATTAAAATTCGTTTTTAATNATTGAATTAGATCCCCTTACTTTTGTGGTTGTATGTGTCCTCTTCTCTTGTCTGCCCATTGTTTTACTCCAATATATTCACTTCTGGGGTTTAGATAATTCATTAATCTCTTATCTCTCCAACCTTTAGACAATAAATTATTAGAATATTTTTCTCGTAGATAACCTTCTCAAGTATCCTCATCAACAAAAAAAACAAAAGACTACGCCCAAAGTGGATGCAGGTGTTTTTGTGGGACTAATGAATCTGAGTCATTCATTATTTATTTTTTTTAACTATAAATTTCTTAAATGTTCACCTTAATTCTCCACCCCCTCCCAATTTTTTTTTATTTTTTATAATACATATTGTGAATGTCAGATGGACAGACCATTTCTTTTCGGCTAATACGGCATTTGAGGGTTTTTCCGGTATGTCTAGTCTAGTCTAGTTTAACTATCGAGCACGTAGATCAGTTGTTGAAGGGCTGTTCTAACTTAACCAAGGTCCTTGGTTTGAGACTTGGGAATGCAACTGCTTTCGGTAAGGAGAACTTTGCCGCCCTTGTAGTCCTAACCGGCTTGAATCTGGATTAGTCGGAAACCAAAAAAAAAAGTCTAGTGTGAAAGGGACATTCATCATTAAGTAAATATATGATTGAAGGAAGTTAAAGATTAACTCATATGCAATAACTTCTAATTCATTTCGTGTGGGATCAGTGGTTGTATTACGAATCAACAATCCTATTTCCAAAATGGGCATCAGTTCTTGCATAGAGCGTTCATGTGATGCAAATTCTCAGCCACTACTAGAGATGTGCAGAGGATCCTTATAAGGCTCGAAAATGAATTCTCAGTCGTAATAAGATTTCCTCTAGATAGATATATCTCCAATAAGACTTTCTCTATTTTATGAAGTTTTTTACGTATTAAAATTCAATTCGATCTAAGTAAAATTCGTTTTTAATCGGCGGCTCAAATCAAACTTTAATCAAATCACATTGAATTTTAATAGGCCTGAATTTTGTTGCATAAACAAAATAAATTTTAATTGACTCAAAATTTTATGTGAAAAGGGGATTTTAATAAATTTTAATCGAATTTTAATTGATACCAATTTAATAAATAAAAAATATAAATTAATCGACTCGAATCGAATTTTAATCGGCTTTAACAGCTCAAATCGACTCAAATTTTAATAAGTTAAAAAAATTTAATAAGCTCAAATTTTAATACGTAAAAAAAATAAATTTTAACGGCTCGGATTTTGTGTAGAAAATTTGTTTGAGGTTTATGAAACGGTAATTTTGGTATTTTAGATGATTTTTTTTTATTTATTAAAAGTGGTGGTTTAATAACAAGGAGTATTAGTGATGTTTTGAATAATATGGAGAGTATTTCTAATCATATATTAAAATAGAAGAAATGTAGCTAAAATTTTTCTATGGAACAATGGTTCCCGTCGTTCGCCTATCATTGGAAATCAATCACAAATTGAGGCCACTGAAACTTCTTAAGATCTCTCTTTCTCTCTAACGTGTAGGTGTAGGTGGTTGTTCCTTACAAGGAACAAGCACTGCTAAGTGACTCTCATCTCTTTTTCTCTTACGAAACCTGCTATATATATATATATATATATCGTTACCCATCCTAAATAAAAGCATTGACCCGGAATCCTCTATTGTAATCCCCTAGAAGCAAGGAGAACTGGTTTATTATTTAGTGGAGCAAGCAAGGAAGAATCACAATATTATATATAACTTCTTGCCATTACTTTCTTAATCAGTTCTTATCAGTAGAATACACTTGGAAAATTTTTTATTCCATACAACAACCAAATATCCACTGATGAAGTCATTTTAACTTATTCTTAATGATTCTGATTTAGCTAGCTCTTTAGAACTGGGAAGCTGGAATAGATCATTAGTAAGCTTAATTACCTAATTTCTTATTGTTCTATACCTATTAGTTGTCATGTTTAACATGGAATGCTTCAAATTCTTACTTCTGTTCCAGACCTTATATCACCAAATGATCTTCAAGAAATGACTGTCTACCTTATTTAAGATTGTTCAGTAAGCATACCTAGCGTAAATCGGAATGCTAAACCTAGTTTTATTTAAAAATTACTTATAATTTAATAATGTTATTTAGACACAATTTACAAAATTGATTAACTGAACTATTGTGCTTTAGCAAATTAAGTCAAAATATTAAACCCATGAAGCAGATAACATCTATATGGGTTATCATCTCCCGGTTTTGGCATCCATTGATACAATGCCTGTAGCTTATCACCCAAAATTAAATTAAATTAAGTTTAAGTTGGTGAAGATTACTCACAAAAACATCCCAAAAACATAACAGATTTCTCACTAAAAAGAAAGTTGACAGGTACATTAAAAGAACGTCACAATGTGCAGTGCTAATCAAATGGAAATTATGGATTCCCCAAGCAAACCCTCATCTGTGGCCTTGCATTTAACATTGAGAATGATAGGAATTTAGTTTCATGCGTCGTCACTATCATTACCAACCCTAAAGAAAGAGCTTTGTTACACCTCAACACGAAAGAAGACACTCATGTGCTTGCATTATTTATTCATTCAACTTGCGTTGGAAGGTTGTTAGTGTCAACATATTGGACAATGCTGCCCTATATATATATATATATATAAGGACCATATCAATGATCATTCACCAAAGCAAACACAATCTAAAATTGCCTTAGTAATTGGCTTGTTTGGTTTATCCTCAATTAGGTGAAGGTGAAGATGAAGATTGAAGTTGAAGTTGTTTCTACAGAGAACATCAAACCATCTTGTCCAACCCCTTCCCACCTACGAAATTACCAACTCTCTTTTCTTGATTAAATATTTCCTCTAGTATATTTTCCTGCAATCTTTTTCTATGAATCCAACATCAATATCAAGTTGAGCAATGCCGAAAAATCTGATCGACTAAAGACATCTTTCGCTGAAACCTTAACACGATTCTACCCACTTGCAGGAAGACTTATAAACAACATTGCCATAGATTGCAATGACGAGGGTATCATGTATTTGGAAGCCTGGGCCAAGTGTCAACTCTCCCAAGTTATCCAAAACCCAAACCCTGGTGAATTCAACAAATTTTTGCCTCGAGAAGTTGATGATGTTGATGATACACTATTGGCTATCCAGGTCAACTTTTTTAACTGCGGTGGAATGGCCGTGGGGGTCTGCACTAACCACAAAATTGCTGATGGCCTTTGGATTGTCATGTTAATCAACTGTTGGGCTGCAATTCAGTTGTAACATATTGTTTCCACAGTTTGAATCGGCTAAGCTCTTCCCACCTAGGAACCTATTTGGGTATGAAACAAGCATCGGGATACCAAAGGACAAGCTTGTGATGAAGAGATTTGTGTTAAATCACTCTATGGTAGCTGCTCTCAGATATAAATACACTACCCGCCCATCGATGAAGACTGTTCAATACGTCCAACACGCATTGAGGCATTATCAGCTTTCATATGGAACAGATTTGTAGATTCAACTCAGATAGAACCGAACCCTCAAAGGTTGCACATGGTGCTACATGCAGTGAACTTACGTACGAGGATGGACCCTCCATTGCCNCTGAACTATTGTGCTTTAGCAAATTAAGTCAAAATATTAAACCCATGAAGCAGATAACATCTATATGGGTTATCATCTCCCGGTTTTGGCATCCATTGATACAATGCCTGTAGCTTATCACCCAAAATTAAATTAAATTAAGTTTAAGTTGGTGAAGATTACTCACAAAAACATCCCAAAAACATAACAGATTTCTCACTAAAAAGAAAGTTGACAGGTACATTAAAAGAACGGCACAATGTGCAGTGCTAATCAAATGGAAATTATGGATTCCCCAAGCAAACCCTCATCTGTGGCCTTGCATTTAACATTGAGAATGATAGGAATTTAGTTTCATGCGTCGTCACTATCATTACCAACCCTAAAGAAAGAGCTTTGTTACACCTCAACACGAAAGAAGACACTCATGTGCTTGCATTATTTATTCATTAAACTTGCGTTGGAAGGTTGTTAGTGTCAACATATTGGACAATGCTGCCCTATATATATATATATATATAAGGACCATATCAATGATCATTCACCAAAGCAAACACAATCTAAAATTGCCTTAATAATTGGCTTGTTTGGTTTATCCTCAATTAGGTGAACGTGAAGATGAAGATTGAAGTTGAAGTTGTTTCTACAGAGAACATCAAACCATCTTCTCCAACCCCTTCCCACCTACGAAATTACCAACTCTCTTTTCTTGATTAAATATTTCCTCTAGTATATTTTCCTGCAATCTTTTTCTATGAATCCAACATCAATATCAAGTTGAGCAATGCCGAAAAATCTGATCGACTAAAGACATCTTTCGCTGAAACCTTAACACGATTCTACCCACTTGCAGGAAGACTTATAAACAACATTGCCATAGATTGCAATGACGANCAAACTAGATAAACTCTTTACAAATATTTCAAACATGAATTTCTCTATCACAGTATCCAACGTGAACTTAGTTGGGAATACCAAGGAATGGTAGATCATGGAGAACTTGGGCTATGTTGATAATGCTTCGCACAAACTATATTCTTAATAAGTTATCCCACAAGAAAATAATAAGATCTCTTATGAATTATGAAAAGGTTGAAGTCTTCCTATAAATATTTAAAAATATGGGAGTGCTTGGCTAAGATGGGTCATAAAAAGAATAAAATTGGACCTAAAATCATTGATTGCATATTCATTAGTTATGCTAATAATAATAATGGATATCATTTTATCCCATGATACTGTGATTAGTAATAAAGATCATGAGTTTATAGATGAAGNCGAATGAGGAGTCTATTACTACCTCTTCCGTTGTTAAGGAGGTAAAGACTCCTCTGGGAAGTAGGGTCTTAATCTCTTTCCCTCCAAATGAAGATTGCAGATTCAACTAAGGAGTCTTCTATTTTTGAATTGCTAATAACTTTATCTTTTAGCCTTTGTCTATTAGACCTGTGAATAGTCAATCAAACAATTATACAGAGTAAAAAATTTTGCTAAAAATTCAATCAATCTTGACAAAATAAAGATTTAGCATTNAGTCCTTTGGATCATGATTTTCTAAAATATTTCTTATAAAATGAGCCTCAAACATTTAAGGAAGTAATGTTCACTCTTGAAACTATTTTTGGAAAGAAGTTATTAATAGTGAAATTGTATTCATCATGCAAAATTACACCTAAGAGTTGGTAGATCTTTCACCAAAAAAGAAACCATTACAATGTAAATGAATTTTTGAGACAGAAATGAAAATTGATAGATCAATTAATACAAAATCAAACTTGTTGCCACCGGCTACAATCAAAAAGAAAGTCTAGACTACTTTGAGACTTATTTATCAATTACAAGGATTACATCCATTTGTATGTTAATAGTTATTGAATCATTGCAAAATTTTGAGATATACCAAATAGATGTTAAAATAGCTTTCTTAAATGGTGAATTAAATGAGAAAACTTACATGAAACAACCTGAATGGTGCGCTGTTCAGGAACAAGAGAAAAAAGTGTTCAAAAGCTTGTTAAATTATTTTATGGATTAAAGTAAGCACCAAGACAATGGAGTGAGAAATTTGACAAATTCATGATGTTAAATGGATTTAAAATTAATTAATGTGATAAACATGTCTGTCGATGAAAATTTTGCCTCAACCTCCACGTAAGTTGTGTTGAACTCTATTTACCTCCAAGTCAGCCTTCCAATGGTCCAGGTTAGCCTTTCGATAGTCTAATTCTACTTTTTGAACTTTGGTAATCCTGAAATGAAGTCGAAGACTAGAGGAGGGGAGCTCTGGGGTTCGACCCTCTGATGCTTAAGTCAGTAATTTTGTGAAAAATGGAGAGGTGTATTTAGGAACAGAGTTGTGTACCTTTCATGTTTTCCCTGGACTCCTTTTTCCCCTGGGCTTCTTTTTATAGTCTGGGAATAATCTCCATAGGGGAGTAGACTCTAGGCTCCCCTATCTGCTACTAGGGAATCAGACTCCTTTTATTTGAGGAGTCTAGTTCTCCTCACTGTGCTTAGAAGCGGGCAAAACTCCTTTCAAATGAGGAGTCTATTACTACCTCTTCCGTTGTTAAGGAGGTAAAGACTCCTCTGGGAAGTAGGGTCTTAATCTCTTTCCTTCCAAATGAAGATTGCAGATTCAACTAAGGAGTCTTCTATTTTTGAATTGCTAATAACTTTATCTTTTAGCCTTTGTCTGTTAGACCTGTGAATAGTCAATCAAACAATTATACAAAGTAAAAAATTTTGCTAAAAATTCAATCAATCTTGACAAAATAAAGATTTAGCATTAAGAATAAAATAAGAATTGAATAAACATAATATCTGAATCAATAATCACAAATTCATACCCTAGGCTAAAGAGTACAAAGAGAATTACTCACAAAACATTGTAAATCTCCAAAAGTTAAGAAAAATAAAGTAGCAGTTGAAGAGGAGGGATCCAAGATGATTCTCAATATAAGAGAGGTCATATATATACTAAAAGATCTAGAGTTGGTTTGGGATCAATCTCTTTCCAAAAATGAGTCTTTTAAATTAAATCCCATGCATCAAGTTCCAAAGAGGCACATCTCGACGTTAGTGTCTTGACACCTTAAAATCTTTGAAAAAACCACATAACTTGGGGTGTCCGAATGGTACCATTGGTATCTGATAGTTGCTCAAATCGTCAATTGCGTTCGTACGACACCATTGGTGTATTGGCGCTGCAATTTCTTTGGAAATCCTTCTTGATCACTTGTGTTTGGCCGATAGATATGTGTCTGAATACGAGAACTGAAACTTTGAGCTTGATTTTCGCATAATTAGAGGTCGAGTCACAAAAGTTTCATGGAATACATTTTTGAAGTCGTTGAAGTCTACTTTCCCATTTCATAAAAATTAGGTCAATCAGGCATCGGGATAAAAAATTATGACCAAAATATAAAAATAGTGTCAAAACCTTTCTTTCCCGAATTCTTTCCTTATTCCAACTGAATCATTTTTTCATTGTTTGCTCGACTTGGATCACCCCATTATTATCATAAAACATCCAAATTACCTGCAAAATGATACATGCAACTAGAACAGGTATCAAGTTAAAAATTCAAGAATCTAGCACATTTTATCTCAAATAATAAGTAATTAATTCATCCTTAAAAATTTTAATAAAATAACACTTTTGATGATTAATTATTGATATGTTCAGATTCATAGTGTTTAGTTATATGTTGCGTAGTGTGTTTTGTGGCATTCTTGATATAGGGTGGAGATGATGGTGATTGGAATGACAAAGGTTGGTGGCTATGAAGTTTGCTAATGGTGGTGATCAAATAAAAGTGTAGACGTCTGATTTTGAAAGAAACAAGGGGAATTTCACTTTGTACCTCAAAAGATTTAAGATTTTTTACTTTGCACCCTCAAAGATAAGATTTCTCCAATTACACTTTTTATGTCATGAAAGTGTTATAATGTGGCTCTTTGTTTACCTTTCTTTGATTATTCCATCCAAAACCATCCCCAATAACGTTGATGGAATGAGTAACCAAAATTAACGGAAGGACCACATTATAGTTTTTTTAATACATTGAGGATACAATATGAGAAATTTAATATTTAAATGTACAAAATAAGAATTTTTATATCNAAACTTTTTATGTCATGAAAGTGTTATAATGTGGCTCTTTGTTTACCTTTCTTTGATTATTCCATCCAAAACCATCCCCAATGATGTTGATGGAATGAGTAACCAAAATTAACGGAAGGACCACATTATAGTTTTTTTAATACATTAAGGATACAATATGAGAAATTTAATATTTAAATGTACAAAATAAGAATTTTTATATCTTTCCAGGGTGTTAAGTGCAATTCGCCAAAGAAACAAACAAAAAGAGAGAGATATGACTTTCAGCAATGGTGGGGTCACATAGGTGGTCAGGAAGTTGAATTTGGGTTAAGATATTTTATAATTTGTCCAAATTACAAGCATGTAAGATGCATATGCAATTATGCAATTTTTTTGGTTACAAACCTTACGAAACTAGTTGAACCCTGTGCAAAACACTTTTTTTTTAATATATGAGTTGAGTTACTGTGGTTAAAAGATTAAAAGTCAAAATTTAAATGAGTTATCATGATTAAAAGGTTAAAAGATTAAAATTTAAATAAATTATCATGGTTAAAAGGTCTAAAAATTAAATCGTAATATAAACTGTGGGATCTAAACAATCTAGACCGTTGTTGTGTTTTTCTAAGTGAGGAACTTAAGCAACTCAAGCAAAAGACTCTATTTTATTATTACAGATTGGATGGAAAGCTCACATCGACTCAAATTAAAAATTCAAAGGTTTAATTAATACAAAATTTAGTTTTAGAGCTGAATTGAAACAAAAAATATACTTTAAAGGTTGTTCATATAACAATAATGTTATTTGGGTCTTTTTTTTTTGT